GGTCTCACCAGCTTGGTTAGACCCCTCAGAGCCCCGGTGAGCCCCACAGAGCCCTGGGCTCTGCATAATTTAACCAGGGGTCTCACCAGGGGTCTGAGGGGGACTCACCAGGGTAGCAGGGCTCTGTGGGGTCTCACCAGGGTGCTGTGGGTTCTAACCAGCCTTGGTAGACCCACAGAGCCCTGGTGAGACCCCTCAGAGACCCCACAGAGCCCTGGTTAAACCGAGGCTCTGTAGGGTCTCACCAGGGGTCCAAGGGGTCTCACCATGGCTATGTGGGGTCTCACCAGCCTGGTCAGACCCCACAGAGCCCTGGTTATACCAGGGCTCTGTAGAATTTCACCAGGAGTCTCACCAGGGTAGCAGGCCCCTGTGGGGTCTCACCAGGGCTCTGTGGGTGTCTAACCAGCCTTGTTAGACCCAACAGGGCCCTGGGGAGATCGAACAGAGCCCTGGTTAAACTAGGGCTCTCACCTGCTTTCCACAGGGCTATCCACAGGGCTCTCCAGGCTGCCACTCCAGTACTGTGCTGGGCTGGCCGAGTGGCCGTGTCTTGCGGGCGGGAGCTGGCAGGACTATGTCTCCGTCGGCTTCTGAAGTTAAACTCCGCCCTCCCAGGAGTGAGGTCTCTTCTCATTGGCAGGTGGGCGGAGCCCCGGCCGAGCCGATGGTCCGTGCGACGATCGAGGAAACAGGTGAGTTTTCAGCCCTGTCACTGTCAAACTGAGAGTCTCAGTTTGACAGCGACAGGGCTCAGCGCTCACAATGCTACCTGGCTTCTAACAGGGCAAACTAGGCGGCCGCGAGGCCCTCGGGAGCGTGAGGCCTAAGGCGACCGCCTAATTTGCCTAATTAAAGAGCCGCCTCTGGCTGAATGTAATTGTACTTATTCTGTATATATTGGTGCTGCACAGTATAACTTCTCTGTATGCAGTGTGCAGTTCTCAGTATCTGTTCGTATTCTGTATGTATGGACACTGCGCAGCACTACTTCTCTTGTCCTATATGCTAGCTGTAATTTTCAGTATTTGTGCTTATTCTGTATGTATGGATGGAGCACATTGCTATAACTCTTTTTCTATATGTCCTATATGCTGGCTGTAATTTTCAGTATCTGTTCTTATTCTGTATGTATGGATTCTGCACAATAACATATTTCTTATGATATATGCTGAATGTAATTCTCAATATCTGTTCTTATCCTGCCTGTATGGATTCTGCACAGAACCATTTCTCATAATCTGTATGTAATTCTCAAGATCTGTTCTTATTCCGTATGAATGGATGTTGCACATCACTACTCCTCTAACTCTGTATGCTGTGTGCAGTTCTCAATATCTGTTCTTATCTGCACAGCGCTACTTCTCCTCCTATATGCTTGCTTTAATGTTCATTTTTTTTCTTATTCTGTATGTATGGATGAAGCACAGCCTCTTTTCCTGGACGCTGGATGTAATTCCCGGGATCTGTTCCTATTCTGTATGGATACTGCACATTGCTATGTTTCTTTGCGCAAATGCTGGGTGTAATTTTCAGTATCTGTACTTATTCTGTACATATGGATGCTGCATAGTAGTGCTGGTTTTGTTCTGTATGCTGGGTACAATTCTGGGTATGTGTTCTAATTGTGTGTGTGCAGCAGGGTAGCAGTTCTCTTGTCCTATACTGGATGTAACTCACTGTAGTATGACAGCATATCTGTACACAAGTGAGGGTGTACAGCTTATATTAGTGTATTTTCCTCTTGTGTAGTCCATTACCTTTCTCAATGCTGAGGGAATCAATGGCTCTGTATCCAGCATTGACAATGCCATGCTTGGCACCGGCTGCCATGACTGCCTGGTATACAGGTACACAGGCTTCTCTGGGCATATGCAGCTCCCAGCCCATCTCTCCCACGAAGGACAAGCGAATGGCACGGACCTGGGATAACACAAAGAAGTATTAGTTTGACACTGTCGTTGTGGTGAATGACACTGTTGTTGTGGTGAAAGCTACTATTAGTCAAAATGTTCTTTAAGTGCTTAGAAATTGAATGAATGAATATTGTGTTCCTGTATTTACTGGACTAGAACAACCAGCAGCCAATTAGATCATCAGAGCACTAACAGAATTAAACAATTGTAGTACATGGTTAGATCATTAAAACTGACCAGTATAAAAACACCAATATATGTTCTGTGCAAAAATTACAAAATATTGTATATGGCTGAGCAGTGGTGTTACTAATGTATTTGATGTAGAGAAGATTATTATTTTTTGTTACACTCTTCGCTATATATCAAATTGTTTCTAGTAATAATCATGAAAATACACAAAAGGCAAAAAAGGAACAGAGACAGTTAAAGTTTGCTTTAGCTAAACGCTGTATATAAAAATACAGTTACAAAAATAACCTTCATGAGTCTAAGAGTAATGGATGTGGTGACACAATGTGGTGATAATAGCTGCATGCTTTGAAAGTGACAGGATTAAATTATAGTAAAGAGGTCATCTAAACAAACAGCACTGACTTTATACTGCATAGGCAAAGAGGAAGGAAACCCTAACAATATATTGACAACAAAATGGGTAATTGTATACAATACATGGGCAACCAACATGCAACATTGTTACAATAGACAGACAACAAATGTGCAGTCATGGAAACATGTGGGCAATAAATGGGCAATGGGGACAATATGCAGGCAACAAATGGGTAATCATGACATTATGAGGGTAACAAAGGGACAATTATGACCAGGGCCGGCCTTAGGGGTGTGCGAGCAGTGCGGCCGCACAGGGCGCCATGGCAACAAGGGCGCCGTGCGGCCGACACAGCTCGTCCTGGGGGCGGCTTCTCTCCCCCTCACAGCTGGGCGCTGGCCATCCAATATGACAGCGCTCCCTCGTCCAAAAAATATGGGTAATAAATGGGTGTGGTTACTGGGGGTGTGGCCACTAAAGGGGTGTGGTCACTGAGGGGCGCTGTAAAGCTTTCTCGCACAGGGCGCCTAAAGGCCTAAGGCCGGCCCTGATTATGACAATATGTAGACAAGAAAGGAACAATTGTGACAATATACAGGCAACAAAGGGGCAATTGTGTCAATATGTACAACAAATCACTAATCTTGTCAATGCACAGGCAACAAATAAGCAAGTGTGATAATACACAGGTAATGATATTAAGTCAGACAACAGTGCCCATATATTAAAGCCAAACAGTTGTAAAAAACACATATGGCCATTAGGAGTAATATTACTCACATTGCTGGTCAGTGGGAAAAATGCCCTTTGCAATGGCAGGGCAGTAAGTAGAATTCTGTGTTTTTTTCCCCCTGACCACCAATGTAAGGCTGGGCACACACCTTACAACCATCGCAAGACTTTGGTCTTGCGATGGCTGTAAGGTACTTAAAAAAAGTACAATCTGCCTATCTTGGACAGGCAGATCGTACTTGCGATGATCGCAAGCCACGCCCCCGAGGGGTGGGCTTCCAATGACCGCAATGCTGAACGGGCAGTGTGCGCTTGCGCACACCGACCCGTCCGGCTTTTATCTTACGAACATGCTACACACCCGCCGAACATCGTATGATGCTCGGCGGGTTTTCGAACATTTTCGTAAGTTAAAATTTGTGCGACCTTACAGTAGTAGAGGTCGCACGGCTTCCACACACCTTACGATAATCGCATGATTGCGGGATTTCCCGCGATTATCGTACGATTATCGCAAGGTGTGTGGGGACCTTTAGGGGCACTCTTCTGCCCACTGACAACCAATGTAAGGGGCAGTCTTCCTCCCATTGACCACCAATGTAAGGGCATTCTTTATGAATAGTGACACATTAGAGACTTGCACAGGGGGTCTCTCATATGTATACAGCAAACACACAAAAATGCAATCACTAAATCAATTGTTAACTAGCATGAAAGGTGCAGAATGCAGAATGAAGCCGATGGGGGATTCTATGTCAGTCAAAGAAAGAACATAAATCGAAAACAGCTAAAAAGTAATACATTTGATGTTAACTGTCGACAAAACCACAGCTTTGGTGATGCACTAAAGCCCCTCCCATTTGAAGATGGACTCTTTGTTTGTAGACAGATATGAGCCCCTAAAACCACAGGAAGAGTTAAACAGAATAAAATCAACCCACAGAATGGAATTGCACTAAGATATCTAATTCTATTAGAGCCCAGCTCTCAGTCCAGCAATGGCATTTACCTAAGGGAAGGCCTGGAGCAAAAGTGCTTAAATCCTTTTTATCCTGGCACTAATGTGGAGCTGTGCACCACTCTCTTCTCCTACAAATCCTCCCAGCTTCACCATAAGCCAGCTCCAGAAAATGTACAACTATTGGCCAGAAAAATAGAAACCCTTTTTCTGCACCATCTTTGATCCAATTACAGGTGCCACATTGTGTCAGTGACTCCTCGAGGTGTTAAAGGCACACTGTGCTGGAAAGAATATAAAGCATGCCAATGCTGACTTGCTTCCTAAAATTACAGTAGATTGCTGTGTGTTTTCGGTACTTTGAGTCACTGGCCTGAAGAAAACATGCAGAAAGCAAATTCTTCATTCTGGTTGTTGCACCACAAAATTGTCCTGTGATGTTAAAGGCCAATTCCAGCCAAAACTTGTTTTATTAGTTTAGGATAGAGTGGGGAAGAGTTAGAACCCCTGTCAGGTTTCAAATGTTGTCTGGGTTCCTACTAGGGGGGCTTTGCCTCTTCCTGTTCTGATATCTGACACATGGACATGGAATCCACCATCACGGGGACACAGACAGCAATACCAGAACCAAAGAAAAATGTTTTAGATGGAGTTCACAGTTATTGGTGAGCCAACAATGCCCTACAGATTAATCCACCAAAACCTGCCTCCCACATCACATCACTTTGTATTATTTTCACCCTCTTCAGCCACTTTTTTTCTTTCACTTTAGTTCCACCATACAACTTGTCCTATCTACAGTAATGTTAGAAAGGTGATAAGAGTAGGCTTCCAATCGCAATGCTGAACGGGCAGTGTGCGCTTGCGCACACCGACCCGTCCGGCTTTTATCTTACGAACATGCTACACACCCGCCGAACATCGTATGATGCTCGGCGGGTTTTCGAACATTTTCGTAAGTTAAAATTTGTGCGACCTTACAGTAGTAGAGGTCGCACGGCTTCCACACACCTTACGATAATCGCATGATTGCGGGATTTCCCGCGATTATCGTACGATTATCGCAAGGTGTGTGGGGACCTTTAGGGGCACTCTTCTGCCCACTGACAACCAATGTAAGGGGCAGTCTTCCTCCCATTGACCACCAATGTAAGGGCATTCTTTATGAATAGTGACACATTAGAGACTTGCACAGGGGGTCTCTCATATGTATACAGCAAACACACAAAAATGCAATCACTAAATCAATTGTTAACTAGCATGAAAGGTGCAGAATGCAGAATGAAGCCGATGGGGGATTCTATGTCAGTCAAAGAAAGAACATAAATCGAAAACAGCTAAAAAGTAATACATTTGATGTTAACTGTCGACAAAACCACAGCTTTGGTGATGCACTAAAGCCCCTCCCATTTGAAGATGGACTCTTTGTTTGTAGACAGATATGAGCCCCTAAAACCACAGGAAGAGTTAAACAGAATAAAATCAACCCACAGAATGGAATTGCACTAAGATATCTAATTCTATTAGAGCCCAGCTCTCAGTCCAGCAATGGCATTTACCTAAGGGAAGGCCTGGAGCAAAAGTGCTTAAATCCTTTTTATCCTGGCACTAATGTGGAGCTGTGCACCACTCTCTTCTCCTACAAATCCTCCCAGCTTCACCATAAGCCAGCTCCAGAAAATGTACAACTATTGGCCAGAAAAATAGAAACCCTTTTTCTGCACCATCTTTGATCCAATTACAGGTGCCACATTGTGTCAGTGACTCCTCGAGGTGTTAAAGGCACACTGTGCTGGAAAGAATATAAAGCATGCCAATGCTGACTTGCTTCCTAAAATTACAGTAGATTGCTGTGTGTTTTCGGTACTTTGAGTCACTGGCCTGAAGAAAACATGCAGAAAGCAAATTCTTCATTCTGGTTGTTGCACCACAAAATTGTCCTGTGATGTTAAAGGCCAATTCCAGCCAAAACTTGTTTTATTAGTTTAGGATAGAGTGGGGAAGAGTTAGAACCCCTGTCAGGTTTCAAATGTTGTCTGGGTTCCTACTAGGGGGGCTTTGCCTCTTCCTGTTCTGATATCTGACACATGGACATGGAATCCACCATCACGGGGACACAGACAGCAATACCAGAACCAAAGAAAAATGTTTTAGATGGAGTTCACAGTTATTGGTGAGCCAACAATGCCCTACAGATTAATCCACCAAAACCTGCCTCCCACATCACATCACTTTGTATTATTTTCACCCTCTTCAGCCACTTTTTTTCTTTCACTTTAGTTCCACCATACAACTTGTCCTATCTACAGTAATGTTAGAAAGGTGATAAGAGTGACTGTTGCACCACTCTTTATAAATAGGACCCAAAGCAGGCCTCAATACAAATTGTGCAGGAGGTTGCAATCACCTTTAGAGTGACTCATAATCGCCCAGGCGGGGGCTGCATTCATAGGAGCACGCAGAAGGCCTGCAGTTAAATTGGTACAGATTATTATAGTCAGATGTCCTCGTCATGCAGGTAGGAACAGTGTGACAGCTCTGCGGGAGCTCTACCTGGGGGGATTATAATGAGGCATGCCACATATATAAAAACAGAGTTCCCTTCGTCAATCTGCTCATTGCCAGACCGTATACCAAGCACTCCGGGTATTGGCTGTCTATCTGTCCTCAATCCGCCAGTTGAAAGTCTGTCAGTGCAAAGTGAAAGGCGAGCTGTTCTGTATTTCCTCTACATAGACTCAGGGCTCCATCACAATGTGAGCCCCAA